CAGGCACTTGTCGAGCAATATATGCAGGAGTGTGTGCTTTCAAAAGGTGATGAGGAGAAAACGAATATTCTGGCCTTGTACCGCATGGCCTCTGAGCATCAGAAGATATAGATTCATTCTGATTTAAATACAGCAATTCAAGCGTCTGAACCAGAGGCGCAGCGCAGACCTGCTCGGCTATAACTCATATTTTACAAATAACCACGGCGCTCTCTGTGTGCTGAACCAGCAGACAGTCGCAAACATACGAAAAGACGACACTTCTATCAATCACTTCCCTCATCTCCAAAAGGAAACTCATAAAACGGACGATTATTTGCGCAAGCAAGCTGCCGAAGGAAAGCTTTAATTAAACCCCTTTATTTATATGACAAGTGAAAATGGGGGGGAAATCTAAATCAAATTCTTTTTGCTTTTTTCACTCTTTTTTTTTTTCGTGTGAGCTGTAACCCTCGGAGGCAAGTCATTAGGGCTTATACATAACCATCACGCCACATTAAAATCACATTACACAACAACGATAATCATCACGTTCAATTACATGTGGTAATAAATGACCGTGCAATCTTTGCTAAATCTATTAGTGTGCCATCGCAGGAGAGAGAAAAAGAGATGTGCAAATAAAGAAAGAAGGGAAACCGGGTTCGATACATTAGTCTTACTTCGTTCGCTAGTTGGAAGCGAGGCCACCTGAAGCACGTCGGTGACAGACAAGTGTTCATTTTTTCCACTAAAGTACTGAAAATTTCGGGGTGTTCTTTTGTCTGTGCATATTTTAAAAATGCTTAATTTTTACAATTTTGCAGCGTTTTCACCTTGCCTTAATTAAACAAAGAAAGGATTCATTCAGCATGTTAAGCAGCTCAAACACATCAAGATTTTAAATTTAATCAGCTACATCCATATTTACAGTATAACAGTACATCATATCCAAAAAACACTTATTTTTTTTAGAAGGCTGCATTTATGTTTTTCTTAAACACAATATCATGAATATACTACAGTAAACAGTATATTCATAATTAATACACATTTGGGACTGTACATCACAACAATGGTAACACCTAAACACAACATGTGACATTAAAGTGAAATATAAACCTGTAACCATTAATAACCCCCAAAACCCATTTCACAAACTTGTATAGTCTTAATCGAGTTATCAGATCAGACTAACTCTGATTTGACCCCAGGCGCAAAGCATGTTGGGTAACCAACAGTGCCACAGTGATATTGCCACTTACATTTGCAAAAACACTGAAATGAATTTACAGGTAATTATGAAGTAAGTTACAGTATATGCTAGTCAGAATGTGTAGCATTGTGAATGCGAATTAATAAATGTTTGATATTTTAAAATTTGGTTCATATCCATTACAGTTTAACAGAACTTTGAAAGAACATTTTTGTTGACAGAAATGTCTAAAATAGACTAAAATGAGTGAATGTGACATGACACTGTACTGACTAATTGTAGATGACATTTTCTTCAAAAGACATAAATTAAAAAAACTACAAATGACCACATCTCTGTCCTGCTTGTCTAAGGTTTGGCTGTCGTTGCAGGTGGTAAGTCGTACGAGAGCAATTCAGGTCACATTCACACTCACTCAACGTCCACACAGCAGGATCTGGCAGAACCTTAAGTGGGGCACTTACCCCTTCTTGCCTCAGTAAATATGCAGCTGTATAAACTGTTTAAATTAATGATATGTAACTGGAAAAAGAAGAGCTTTGCACTTTCTGGTAACATAAACGCTATTAGGCTGCCATCAGCGGAGGAGTCTGAAATGCTTGTGCTATGAAACGGGCAGTTTGCTCTGCGCCCTCGAGCCGAAAGTGTATATATCATGGGCAGATGATAACATGCAAACATCTGACACACTATTAAGCTGATGCTCAGCCATTTCTAAGTAATACCTCTTTTGTTACCTAAAGACTTCACAAATATTTTATCTCGGTACATTTCCTTGAGCCCAGTTGGCTGCAGTTTTCTCACATATGTAAAGTGGCCCAATTTTTTTTTATAGCATGTAGAGTTGCTAGTCAGGAGGTATATAGTATATTTGCAAGTGTACTGGCTTAATTATATGAATTCAAGAAGTAATTGTACAACCTCATCAAACCATAACAGTGACCTGCCCCTTTAAATGATATGATGAGTCTTCAGAGTAGCCATTTTGAACAGGTGGTAAGCTGTACTCTCATTTAACATTCATTATTTGCTGTTTTTTTTGAGCTTGATTTGTTGAGTATAGCATATCCTTGTCACTTAATATGAACAGAAATGTTGTTTTTGTTTTTAAGTGTTTTAAGAGAATGTTCTAAATAGTCCCCAATACAAATTGATTATGAAGCATATATATTTTATATATAGGATTTGGACCATATGATGTCATGTTTAAAAGGTACAAGCAATACTCAGCACTGACATATATGTATTTAAACTGCTTAATGGTTTTAGTCACTGATGGCCACTTTCAAATGTCTTGTCAAGTGAGAAACTTGTTACACCCACAGAATGGAGTGGTTATATCAGGGGTGCCCAAACTCGGTCCTGGAGGGCCGGTGTCCTGAAGAGTTTAGCTCCAACCCCAATTAAACACACCTGAAGCAGCTAATCAAGCTCTTACTAGGCATACTAGAAACTTGAAGGCAGGTGTTTTGAGGCAAGTTGGAGCTAAACTCTGCCCTCCAGGACCGAGTTTGGGCACCCCTGGGTTATATAATTTACTAGCAGGGTCTAACTGATAAAGCTAACTAGCTAAACTCAGACCATTGCGTTGCTTCATAAAGCACTCGTATGTTTAGTACTCCGGGGTTAATGGAGGGATAGCCTTGTAAGGCAGTTTTCATCAACTTTTCAAACTGTTTTTCTCCATCTTTTTCCCTTTTCAGCCTCTTTTCAGCTTTATATTTGCCTTGAGTCTTTCTCTCTCTTATTACCAGCAGTCTCTCCTCAAAATGGATATGAGCTGTAATTAACTGTTATTTGGGATTGATTGCAGACAGCTTACCGTTGACTAGCTGCATTATGGAGTCCTTTCAAAGTAGAATTCTGGCCCTGCCAATACACTGAGTTTATTTCAGTACAGAATCAATAGTGAATGTATTAAAAGCTTTATTTGGAATTTGTTGGCAGCAGACTGCCGTTGTTCCTCAGTGCCAGTGGCTGGGTCTCTGCCTGTGCCCTAACTTCACATCTTGCAGAGGGGATTCTATAGACCTTAATTTCACATGCATTTAAGTTCATTCAGGTATAACATACTGTTTTATGCATTACATATTAAACCAAATTCAAATCAGAGTTTAGTTGCAACTTTTGTGCAAATGGTTCAACATGAAGTCATTAAGTCTAGGGTTGTTTTCACCATAGTGTAGACATAAGTGGTTTTTGATGTCAGAGTTTGGTTCATTGGCTGGAAACTGCATCTTCAAAACGTCTCGGGGACAAAAGTATGAGTGCTTCTGTACAAAACTGTGCACTTGATGGGAATGTGTGGTCTTGTGGCCTTTGTTCCTTTATCTATGAGATCTGCAAAACCACAAAGTGTGTCCCATTTGTGATTTTTGTGATTCGGATGGTTGCTCATGGTGATGGTGCAAATATACTGTGGTTTGAAGTCGAACTGTTAATTTTAAAAAGAAACCAGAGAAACCTGAGTGAATGAAATTCGGGTTTGGTCTAAGCAGAAACCAAAAATCATTACTAAAACCATTATTTCTTAAATCATTGCATTCAGTTCATCAATTTGCACCCATAATGTTTATAAATTTTACCAAATTTTGAAACATAACCCCAAGTTTGGGCTTATTTTCAGCTCAGCATTTGGAATCAGCTGATCTCTTGGCAAGTAGGAAAAAAAAACAAAGCATTTAAACCTTTGACCTGCAAACCTCTTCAAACTGAATCAAGGCTTTTGAATGAGCTACTTCTATCAGGTATACACAGCTGAAGTAGGTTCTTGTCTACCAAGCCAAGTAGTTGGAAAATTGCATTCACTTCTCAAGCCTCTTCACACTTTTCATATCAACGTTCTCTAAAGTTTCTTGCTGCTCTTGAGTGTTTGGTTGATGGCCATCATAATCTCATGCTGTCAAAAACTTGAATGCCATTCTTTCAAGCTGAGACCTTACAATCTGTGCTGTTCCTTTGAGTCTATATAGGCCTTTAAAGTTAACATGAAATTGTGTTTGCAACCCTGTAAAATATGAGTTTTATTTTAGAAGTTACTGGACTATGAATTCTACATTTTCTGTGATGTATTTCAGAGCGAAGCAGAATAATAAGCAATTAACAATGTGGGGTGCCTGACGGGTTGTTTGGGGAAAAAAGAAGGTTTGAAATGATTTCAAAGACATTTCTTTTGGAATAATGTTGTCAAAATGAACCGCATTTAACACAGATCCCCCAAAACAACTAAAATGCTGCATTATGCATGCCAGCCAGTAGTTGGCAATGTCACTTTGTAAAGAAACACTATATGTGCCTGCGGACATATATATTCTTACAGACTGAACATGTAATACGCATGTGCATTACACCACCGTTTTTACAAATTCACATTTCATAATGTTTTTTTTTCTTTCAAAAACTTGCACTTTGAAGCCTATTTTCAAAAGTTTGCATTTTCAGGCCCCCAAAATGATTCTGTGAAACATGACGAAAGTATAATGAGACTGGCTTCTCATCAAAAAACTGACTTTCCGTTCCTCTTTCTCGCACACACACACACACACACAGTCACACACGGGTTGTGTCTCTGATGAGATATCATTTTATCATTTACCATGCTGCGCAACAAGATGTATCTCCCCCACTAATGCATCAACGACAGCAGCAGTTCTGTCCTTGTCTGTGCTCTCCCTCAAGGCTACAGCAGGCTCAGTGCTGTTTGGCTGTGCTCGGCAGCGGAGGAGGCAAATGTCGCCGCTAAACTATAAATGACTACACTCTTCCTCACTGTCAGACCCCCCCAAATACAAGTTTGTGCACATACGTGCTGCCACACTCTCTCTACTGCATCTCACTGCTGCCTGGAACTCTCACCCATCTAGAATCGAGCGTGAACGTTGGTATGAAGGAGTGTCACTCAAAAAGGAAATACTGTAGTGTATATATGTCACATTTAATCAAGCGTAATCACTCAAACCGAGCAGTGATTTAAAGAACAATTCAGACGTTGCTGCAGTTGCCTGTCACCAAACAAAGCTCGACTTCAGTGCTACTTTTATCTCTAATTTTCATCTATTTTTTATATTTTAACATATTTTTATAACCTTTGTACATTATTTGATCAAATAAGGTGATTTTAGTTCCTCTTCAGGAACTCGAGCTGCGTCGACAAACGCTA